GGGACAATTTTGGGGGGACGTGACTAACATAGGAGACGTGGGACTGATAAATAGGGGGCTGGGGGACGTGACTAAATAGACGTGGGGGTGATAAAATTAAAAACCTCTGTGAACCCGGGGGTAACAAGGAGCGTGGGACTGGTAACATAGGAGATGCTGGAGGTCGGTGGGCCTAAAATAGAGGTGGCGGAGTAAAATAACCTGGGGACCTGATAACATAGGAGACGCTGGGACGTATTAATAGGGGGATGCCTGGAGACGTGGGGGCTTTTAAAATAGCGTGGGGGTTCTAAATAGAGACCTGGGGGGACAAGAATAACTTTAAAATTTGCTTGGGGGGGGTGGCTAAATAGGGAGGACGGCCTGGAGACCTGGGGGGTAATAGAAGCTGGGGGGCTGATTAACATAAGAGCTGGGAATGCTAACTAAGGAGCGTGGCCTCGTGGGGGGTTTTCATAGCCTGGGGGACTGGGCTAACATAGCGCTGGGAGTACTAACATAAAACGCTGGGACGTGGGGCTAACATGGGAAAGGGGAAAAGGCTGGGGGCGTTAAGTAATAGCGCTGGAGGGCGTGCTAACATAGAGCTGGGGCGTGGCTAAAATAGCCTGGAAACTATCATGGGGCTGGGGACTTTACTAAATAGACGCTGGGGCATGACTAACATAAACGTGGGGAGTGATAACTAAGGGGGGGGACGGATTTTAAAATAGGAGACGTGGGACTTACTAACATAGACGCTTGGAGTGACTATCTAAGACGCTGGGTGTACAACATGCGCTGGCGTGGGCTACATAGGGGGAGGGGACGTGACTAAAATAGGGGACGCTGGAACGGACTAAATAGGAGGCTGGAACGTGATTTTAAAAAGACGCTGGGGATGATAAATAGGGCGCTTGGGAAGACGTGGGGCTATTAACATAGGAGACGCTGGGGACGTGACTAACATAGGAGACGCTGGAGACGAGACTAACATAGGAGACGCTGTGGACGTTACTAACATAGACGCTGTGGACGTGACTATCATAGGAGAAGCTGGAGATGTGACTAACATAGACTCTGGTTACGTGACATACATAGGAGACGCTGGGGACGTGACTAACATAGGAGACGCTGGGGACGTGACTAACATAGGACGTGCTGGGGTCGTGACTAGCATAGGAGACGCTAGAGACGTGACTAACATAGACGCTGGAGACGTGGCTAACATAGGAGACGCTGGGGTCGTGACTAACATAGGAGACGCTGGAGACTTGACTAACATAGACGCTTGAGACGTGTCTAACATAGGAGACGCTGGGGTCGTGACTAACATACGAGGCGCTGGAGACGTGGCTCATGGAGACGCTGGGGATGTGACTAACATAGACGCTGGAGACGTGACTAACATAGGAGACGCTGGGGACGTGAGTAACATGGGAGACGCTGGAAACGTGACTAACATAGAAGACGCTGGAGACGTGAGTAACATAGACGCTGGAGACCTGACTAACATAAACGCTGGGGACGTGACTAACATAGGAGACGCTGTAGACGTGATTAACATAGACGCTAGGGACGTGACTAACATAGGAGTCACTGGGGACGTGACTAACATAGGAGACTCTAGAGACGTGATTAAATGTTTGACTGGCTCCTCCTCCTCCTCCTTAATTCCCCACTACTACCACTACTACTACTACTACTACTACTACTACTACTACTACTACTACTACTATTACTACTACTACTACTACTACTGCTACTACTACTACTACTACTACTACTAATACTACCACCACTACTACTGCTACTACTACCACCACTACCTCTTCCTGCCTATATATAGCCGTCCTGCTACTCTTCTGGTTAGTGTGACTTTGTAAATGGTCCAAGTCGGACCGAAACGTCGCGGTAAGCTCCTCTCTACAATGTGCGGGTTATTTGTGCATCGTTCCAGTCACTGTATTGTGCCTTTTTTAGTTATTTATGGAAACTAAGTCTATTCTGCGGCTTCTCCTACAAGTTACAACTCTAAATTAATCCCCTTCATCATCAATGTCTTCGTGTATGCCTTGGTGCCTGTCGTTCATCTCTTGTTGAAAGCCTCTATGCTGAGGCGAATGTTCCTTAGCTGATCGTCGTGATGTTCATTGCCTTCGTTACTTTGTCCGTTCTTATGACTTTCGTGTTCCTTCTATGTATAGGCTGGTTATAGACGTTTTTTGTTCATCGCCCCCTGCTTGCTCCGACTGTTTTCTATTCATCTTCACTCACTCCGGTCTTCTCTCCAGTTGCCTCCCGTGTATTTTGGAACCTCCCAAAGGGAGGTTTCGACGGGGTCTTGTCTGTTCTGCCCTACTGCCTTGCGCCAAAGCTCTACTACCTACTGCTGCTGCTTCTCGCTCTTTTTCTTAATTACTTCCGGTCGCATGCTCGTGCCGTCGCTGTTTATACAGATGGTTCTAAGCCTTCTGACGGTGTTGGGTTCGCAGCAGTGTTCCCTGACGATGTTGTCCGAGGTCACATGTTAGACTCGGCTAGTATTTTTACCGCCGAGTTGTATGCCATCCTCATAGCGCTTCTCCGTATTACATATATATTTCCTTAGACGTTTGTGATCATTTCAGATTCTCTCAGGGAATTCGATTCCCCTCATCCATTGGTCCTTCGTATTCAGATTTGATTGCACTGTGTGGCTAGCAAAAACGAGGGCGTCGTTTTTTGTTGGGTCCCTGGACACGTTGATGTGCAGGGCAAAGAACAAGCGGCTGCTGCGCGGTCAGCGGTACATGATCTTCCGGTTTCCTATAGAGGTATTCCGTTTAAGGATTATTTTGGTCATCTCTTCCCGTCTTCACGGCCGTTGGCAACAACGGTGGCCGCACATACACCATAACAAATTACACTCTATTAAACCGCTTTTAGATTTGTGGCCATCTTCTTACCACCGTTGCCGTACTCGGGAGACTGCACTCTCAAATCTCCACATCGGCCATACTCGCCTTACTCATGGGTATCTCATGGGATAACACCCTATTTTCCTCTGTGAGGTTTGTCGGGGTCCCTATTACAGTTTTCACTTTTCTGTGGATTGTCCGGTTTACCAGAGCTCGCAGAATTTATTTAAACCAACGCCACTGCCCTACCACTCTTACCTTATCTTCCCTTCTTGCAGACGACCCTGCCTTCGACTTACCATCACTTTTTGACTTTGTCAGCAAGTGCTTTACTATACTAACTTTGAAAGGCTGGAATATTGCTGCACACTAACAGCACCTTTCAAGGCAGGTGAAATTGCTGACCTAGAAAATGTACAGAGAACCTTCACGGCGCGCATAACGGAGATAAAACACCTCAATCACTGGGAGCGCTTGAGGTTCCTGAACGTGTATTCCCTGGAACGCAGGCGGGAGAGATACATGATTATATACACCTGGAAAATCCTAGAGGGACTAGTACCGAACTTGCACACGAAAATCACTCACAACGAAAGCAAAAGACTTGGCAGACGATGCAACATCCCCCCAATGAAAAGCAGGGGTGTCACTAGCACGTTAAGAGACCATACAATAAGTGTCAGGGGCCCGAGACTGTTCAACTGCCTCCCAGCATACATGAGGGGGATTACCAACAGACCCCTGGCAGTCTTCAAGCTGGCACTGGACAAGCACCTAAAGTCGGTTCCTGACCAGCCGGGCTGTGGCTCGTACGTTGGTTTGCGTGCAGCCAGCAGCAACAGCCTGGTTGATCAGGCTCTGATCCACCAGGAGGCCTGGTCACAGACCGGGCCGCGGGGGCGTTGACCCTCGGAACTCTCTTCAGGTAAACTCCAGTTAACACATAGCCTTTAGCGTCCCTTCCGGCACTTTTCTCCCCTCTTCACCAGGCTATTTATATCCCCGGCACTATTTTCTGCCCCCAGCTAGTCATGACCCTTGTCGGTTTAGCTCTATTTAAGTATAATAATTCATCCAATCATATATGTACATATTTGTAATGTTAATTGAAAATATTGAAAGAAATCGTCAATGTTTTATCTAGTTTAAATTTGTGTTAGAATGTTTTTTGTACATTACAAAAACAAATAAAAATAATTTTGATAGACAATTTATTTTAATTAATTTCAACCCAGGAAATGTTAAAGAAACTTGTTTCAAATTGTTACACAGAAATGACCATTTGACGGAGCAAGAGACTCAGTGTAAATCAAGATTCAGTAAGACGGAGCAAGAGACTCAGTGTAAACAAAGATTCAGTAAGACGGAGCAAGAGACTCAGTGTAAACAAAGATTCAGTAAGACGGAGCAAGAGACTCAGTGTAAACAAAGATTCAGTAAGACGGAGCAAGAGACTCAGTGTAAACAAAGATTCAGTAAGACGGAGCAAGAACTCAGTGTAAACAAAGATTCAGTAAGACGGAGCAAGAGACTCAGTGTAAACAAAGATTCAGTAAGACGGAGCAAGAGACTCAGTGTAAACAAAGATTCAGTAAGACGGAGCAAGAGACTCAGTGTAAACAAAGATTCAGTAAGACGGAGCAAGAGACTCAGTGTAAACAAAGATTCAGTAAGACGGAGCAAGAGACTCAGTGTAAACAAAGATTCAGTAAGACGGAGCAAGAGACTCAGTGTAAACAAAGATTCAGTAAGACGGAGCAAGAGACTCAGTGTAAACAAAGATTCAGTAAGACGGAGCAAGAGACTCAGTGTAAACAAAGATTCAGTAAGACAAGTGGTATCCACAGAATATTCTGACTAGTTTTAAGAGGAAACTAACAAATATTTTTTTATTCCACAGCCGCTGAGTCACGAAACTGTAGCATCAATGACAACTTCAACAGCCATTACTCACTACATTAATACATGTATCCTTGAAATATAAGTGTCGTGGGAGTTAATACAGGTGTATCCACAGGTGTATTAATACAGGTGTATCCACAGGTGTACTAATACAGGTGTATCCACAGGTGTATTAATACAGGTGTATCCACAGGTGTACTAATACAGGTGTATCCACAGGTGTCGTGGCTGCGACATAGAGACACACACTTGCTCACTGTAGGGGCATACACCTACACATCTGATCAGAGGTTCAGGGCTGTGCACACCGCAGGCTCCGAGGACTGGGCACTTACAGTTAAGTTTGCTCAAGTTCGGGACTCAGGAATGTATGAGTGCCAGGTGTCCACGACGCCACCCATGAGGCACTACATCTGGCTCACAGTTGTAGGTAAGTAGAGCAAACTTTTATTTTTAAAAACGATGAGTTTACTTACAAAGACCATAAAACTATCTTTTTTTTTGAGGACTTAGACCCTAAAAGAGTGATAAATGAACAACATCCGCAGGAAAGTAAGTGCCAGTAGAGTTGCACCAGTCGGCTTATTGTACACTTTCTTTGGTCTGGATTTTTTATGCTGTTATGTAATAATATAAGACAGATCTTATAATTTGTATAACATTAGAATTCTGGATACCGGGTTCAGTCGTTCTTCCTTCATCACAAACTCAACTCATCTCACTCATATACTGTATAAACATTTTTTTTAGTTTCTCAGTTTCTAGGATCATACTTGCCAGATTGTTCCCTCCTTTAAATCTCTATTACCAAACATCCTTTCTAAATTTAAATTTATCCAATTTAAATCTTTGAGTGTAGTTGGTAGTGTCTTCACTATTGCGTTTTCCACCTCGTTGTTGCATCTACTTTTCTTGCTAATTCTGCATTTTCACGCTATTTTTAAGCAAGTCACATGGTCACATGTGACTTGCGTCACATGTGACCACAATCCTGCATGTCATCAAAAGCCAACTATGAAGCAGGTTGTTCATTGCTTTCTCTCAGTAAGTGCACCACTGAAGTAAGGGGGTCCACTGCCAGTTATGTAGGAGACTGCTTGTTCAGGGTGAGGAAGGAGGATACAGTAAAACTACGTCACGCCACGAAATTCACAGATCCTCACTAGTATCGAAAGAGTTAACGCCACATTAGAGCTCCCATTAGAGCTTTCTCTTCAAAATTTACTTCACACTCTGCATCAAACTACGTAGTATTTATGCCACTCGGCTAGAACCCGGAGTGGCAGTGTGGCGTAGTGCTACGTGCTTAGATACAGTGTGTAGGCCCGTCAGAGATATATAATTCTATATATATATATATATATATATATATATATATTATATATATATATATTATATATATATATACATATATATATATATATATATATATTATATATATATATATTTATATATATATATATATATATATATATATATATATATATATATATATATATATATATAATAAGATCACAGTAAACAGGTGATTTTAAAATATGCAAAACAACCACTGTGAAAGAGTAGTGTGTCTTCATAGATGAAGAAATATCCAAAATTTATGAAATAGCCATTGATCTGAAATACCCGAGAAATATAATTGATAAATCATTTAAAATTGCTAGAAATACTTTCAACAATCCAAAAAGGGACAACCAACCTTATTCAACTAAAAAATAGTTGGTTCTCCCTTACCATGAAAACTTGGTTGATATGCCTTCTCTTCTTAAGACTTTTAATATTAAAGTTGTATTCAAAAATCTTGATACAGTAAAAAAACTTTTGATAAAGAATTCCCCCCAAAATGCTGATGGATGTGTCTATAAGATTCCTTGTAAAATTTGCGATAAAGTTTATTACGGTCAAACTGGTAAAAATCTCGAACTAAGATTAAAACAACATAAATATAGCATTAGAACTGGACAAGATTCCAATGCTCTATTTATTCATGTAAGAGATTTTAACCATCCAATTGATTTTCAAAAAGTTGAGAAAGTAGTATCAAGCAAGTCCATGGTCGACAGGAATATAATTGAATCTTGTTTCATAAAAAGCAGTTTTGACAATAATATGAATATTTCCTTTGGTTTATATAAATTAGATCCATTTATAATTAATAGAATTTGGGAGAATTTAATAATACACTGGACAAATAATTTTTAAATTTTCTTGGGTAGAATAGTTTGTGGGTGAGTTGTGCAAAGGACCTATCCAAGTTGGGTCGGCGCGCGTCACGTGTTTAACCGTTGTGGGATCTGATAGTGAGGTGCCGGCCAGACCCCTTATATAAGCTTCCTTGGATGCTTTACTTTCATAGTTCCTTGATAATGTGAGTAGTCACGAAAACGCTTGGAATTTCACTACTCTTTCACAGTGGTTGTTTTGCATATATATATATATATATATATATATATATATATATATATATAATATATATATATATATATATATATATATATATATATATATATATATATATATGTCGTGTCGTGTCGAATAGGCAGAACTTGCGATCTTGGCTTAAATAGCAACGTTCATCTTGCCATATAGGACAAGCGAAAATTTGTGTATGCAATAATTTCGCCAAAATCATTCTGAACCTAACGAAAAAAATATATTTCACTCTGTTTGTTTAGTATTAAATTATTGTTAACAAATCTATTTAGTTGGGTTAGGCTAAAATAAATTGTTCTTGTTATAATAAGGTTAGGTAAGTTTTCTAAGTTCCTTTTGGTGCAAAATTATAAATTTTTACATCAACATTAATTAAAAAAATATATCTTTTAACGTATACGAGAAAATTTTAGAAAGAACTTAATTTTAAATGAGTTCTTGCTAATTGACCAGTTTTACATATTCGGCACGACATATATATATATATATATATATTTTTTTTTTTTTTTTTTTTTTATTATCACACTGGCCGATTCCCACCAAGGCAGGGTGGCCCGAAAAAGAAAAACTTTCACCATCATTCACTCCATTACTGTCTTGCCAGAAGGGTGCTTTACACTACAGTTTTTAAACTGCAACATTAACACCCCTCCTTCAGAGTGCAGGCACTGTACTTCCCATCTCCAGGACTCAAGTCCGGCCTGCCGGTTTCCCTGAATCCCTTCATAAATGTTACTTTGCTCACACTCCAACAGCACGTCAAGTATTAAAAACCATTTGTCTCCATTCACTCCTATCAAACACGCTCACGCATGCCTGCTGGAAGTCCAAGCCCCTCGCACACAAAACCTCCTTTACCCCCTCCCTCCAACCCTTCCTAGGCCGACCCCTACCCCGCCTTCCTTCCACTACAGACTGATACACTCTTGAAGTCATTCTGTTTCGCTCCATTCTCTCTACATGTCCGAACCACCTCAACAACCCTTACTCAGCCCTCTGGACAACAGTTTTGGTAATCCCGCACCTCCTCCTAACTTCCAAACTATATATATATATATATATATATATAATTCGAACCCATATCGTTTTGGCACGCCTCATGGTGAGAAAAAAAACACATGATGCTCTAACCCACAGGACCACCAAATCCTACAAAAATCACGCACCCAACAGAACTAGGTGTTTTCCCGTGATCCGAGGACATACGGCGGTGTGGGTGTCTCTGAGCTAATTTCATTTTACTCCCCGTTTGGGGTACTAACTATCTTTTTTTATGATAAAAATCCCCCTTTTCCCCCCTTTTTTTTTTAG